ATTCATGTGCTGTCAGGGAACGATGGACTTATAGTGTAAGACCCGGTTTGTGCGTAGGATTCGGACTACTTGTAACAATTTCTGTACTGCAAGTATTTTGATCTTCTGTTATACCACGATTCTAGTGCTCAAAGCAGAATGGATTTGCACCAGAGCTTCTGAATATTGCATGTGATGCTTCGATCGCTGAGCCCGTTAGACAGGCGGCCGTCATTTACCTCAAAAACACTATTGTACGCTTCTGGGAGGTGAGTGAATCGAAAGCGGCCAGTTATTGAGCCCAAACCCATCTTGAGAACTGCAGGGCGATGGATCAGTCGAAAAGTCGAAGAAACCTGATTTTTGCTTGAGCGATAAAGACAGAGCTCTAGTTCGAGAACGCATAATTGATGCTGTTTGTGCTGCTGGCGAGTCAGTCAGGTACCTGAATGTTTTTTCTGGACAAATAAATCCGTTAAACTGATCTGCGAGTTTATACGCTTTTGATTTTGACTTTTCAGAACCCAGTTATGTATTGCGATCCAGCAAATCATCCGCATGGATTTCCCAACGAAGTGGCCTCAGTTTGTGTCGCAGTTGAAGGCAAAGTTGGCTAATCCTCCAGATGCGTCAGTGCTGTCAGCTGGTCTTTTGATCTTTTATCGGCTTGGGAAAGTCTACGAGTAATTATTTTGTTAAACTGGATTTCTCAGTTGTTGATCTTGCTACTTCAAGGTACAAGAGCAACAAAGAGAGAGATGATATAGCTAAACCTGTGTCCACGCTCGAACCATTAGTGTATTATCACTGTCATCAGTTGCTCCATAACCAATCCGCCGAGTCCGTCCTCATCCAAATCCAGGGATTGAAAATATTTTACGTCTTGATTATGGTGTGAATCCTTTCTGTAACACTTCCAAAATGTGTTAGACTTCCGTTTAGTTTTCCCTTCATTTTGGTTCATTTTCAATATCCAGGCTAGATGAATGGATAAAATTTGCCATCGAAATTCTGGCGAGACCATGCCCTTCTGAGGTTAGTTTTTTTTGTTTTGTGTTTAAGGTTGCTCTTC